TTCTTTCCCCTGCTGTTTTTTCAATGAGAGCAAGGATGGAATTTGGGAGCCCGTGGGGTACTCCTGCCCAGTGAAACTGACGTTAAGAAATTGGGAGCCATTATGTTTGCGTGTTATTCGTTTGCTTTCATCAGCATGTTTTTTTGAATTCCTATTTTGTATGTTCTCAGGCCTGTGACAGGTTGCTGGCCCATCGTGTTGATACCAAAATGAAAGGAAACAAAGTACACGATGTACTGAACAGGCTCCACTTAGCTATCCCGTCCAAAAGAGACAACAAGGTTGGTGTGTGTGCCCATTATACCTCTGTCATCCCCTGTCCCCTCCAATTTCAGCAATGTATGTATATATAATACACATGCATTTAATCAAAACAGTCTTGGTCTTTTTTTTCCTTTTTTTCTTTCACATGCTGATAAATGCAATTATGATTTGCTTGTTTTTTTTTTTGTTTTTAAACTGCTTCCTTGAGCTCATCTTGGTTTTATCCTTTAATCTTAGGAAAGGCCACCTTTTATCCCTGAAGGTGCCCTGCTCCGCAAAAAACGCATGGAAGTTGATGCGCCTAAAAAGAAACTGGTAAGCATCTTTTGAAAGATTTTCCCAGGAGAAGAAGAGCAAAATTTGTGTGAAGCTTTTAAAAAAGGGCCCATTTTAATGCTGTATGCTTGTTCACAGGAGAAAGATATTGAAATGGAAATGGGAGACGATTATGTTTTGGATCTTAAGAGTAAGTGGTAACAGTAATCTTAATGTTCACACTAGAGGTGTCACTGGATGTTGTTTTCCCATTAGCAGACAGTTCAGGTAGAAAACTGCAAGGTTAACTTCAGCCGTTGTGTGTGGTTAGGAGCCCTGTTTAGGGAAGTTTTTAATGTTTGGTGTTGCTGCTTTTTTATTATTAATATTCTGTTGGGAGCCGCCCAGAGTGGCTGGGGAAACCCAGCCAGATGGGTGAGGTATAAATTATTATTATTATTATTAACATTATTACCTTATGCTCTTAGTCTACTGGATAATACTGATGTTCACCTAATTTTCCATCAGGGACTATATGTTAAAGTTGATGGAGGGCTTTGTCGGTTTGCATAAGGAGTGAACAACCTGCAGCCTTTGGCCTAATGTCATGCATCCCTTTCCCGAATTACCCTCTCCTGTGTTGCCACTGGCAAAGCTGCTTTGGGTGGAGGGAGGGTAGCAGGTGTCAGAAAGTGAGTGACCTTTCTAGACAGTCAGCTTTTTGGACAGGTAATAATTCAAAATACAAGGGGTTGTTTTTTGACGAAGCCTAAGGTTAAAGGAAGATTGTTCTGGTTGCCAGACAGGTTTATCAACTTTGGACCACCTGCTGTAACTTCCTGCTGTAACGATGAAATAGTAGCTTCTGTGCTGCACAAATTAATAATTCTGTGTGTTGTTCCTCTCCCCCCCCCCTTTAGAATACTGGGATCTAATGAATCCATCTGAAAAATATGATAAGGTGCCAGAGATCTGGGAAGGACACAACATAGCAGATTATATTGACCCAGATATCATGAAGGTAGGAGTTATCCCCATTAACTTCACACCTCAATGTACAGAAAATGTGTGCACTCTTGTCATGACATGAATCTACAGAACATTCTGTCAAGCTATGCATTTCTTGTCTAGCCTCTTATTAAGAAGAATCACAACTAAGAAGAATGAATTGATTGACTCCGTAAAACCATCACTCTGCTTCTGCCTTTAATCTTGGTTCAGAAATTGGGGACTTCTGATATGGCAGTTAGGAGTTTGAGCATTAACTATCTGAAAGGCTCTGTTGATGAATATTTGAAGCATGCATATTGTAAAAGTTTCTAATGCATTGTGTGTGACGTCTTTAAAGAAACTGGAGCAACTGGAGGAAGAGGAGGAGCTGAGGCAAGCAGCTGGAGAATATGACAGCGACTCAGAAAGCGAAGATGAGGAAATGATGGGCATCAGACAGCTGGCACAACAGATTCGAGAGAAAAAGAAACTCAAGATGTTGGCATCCAAAGAGAAAGATACACAGGGGCCCAGGATGCCGAGAACGGCAAGAAAGGCAGGTTTCAAACATTTTGTTAAGAATGTGTTGGGGCCTGACTGCAGTTAAGGGATTAAGAGATTTATGTGTGTTCCCTCCCACCCACTCACTTTCGTTACAAAACAAAAATCGAAGTTGTCATGGCTAGAAATGCCTGTTAGACTGCAGATTAAAAATAATGGCTTAGGCAGATGAAATAGTAACAGGCCTGTAAGCGATAGAAGAAGAATGAGAATCTCCATTAAGGTGTGTTCTAGTTTAGGACTTGTCAGAAACACAAGGATCACTCCTGAGGCCTGCTCTACGCAGTCAGCAGAACAAATGAACTGGGACGTAGGAAGGTGACTTCTGTTGAGTCTGAGCTTTGGTCCACCCAACTCAGCACTGTCAACAGTGAGTGGCAGAGGTTCTCCAGGGTTTCATACAAGAGTTTTCCCCAGGCTACCTGGAGATGTCTGGATTGAGTCTGGGACCTTTTTTCATACGAAGCATGTGCTCTAGGTCTGAGCTATGGCCCTTCCCTATTTCAGACATGATTTTTATTTCACTCACACACACACACACACACACAACATTATAAGCTTCTAACAGTTCAACAAACAAATTTTACTATAGGCCACACACCCGCCTGCACTGGCGTGTTTCAAAGCAACAAACAAGCTTAAGTGAACTCCCAGTTCCTTTGTCAGAACAAGTTGCATTCCTTCATCCAAATTCTTCCTACAAGGCATAGGGCTGATTGAGATCTGGCCTGTTGGGGTTGGGGTAAGGTTCCTCATGTCTGCCTTAAGCACAACAGTTTTTTTATTATTATTATTATTATTATTATTATTATTATTATTATTATTATTATTATTACCTGCTCATTTGCTACCCATACTCTGTGTTGTCGTGTTGAGCATCCTGTATGCATGGAATGTGTGTTCTGGTACATGTTAAATTACACCTAAACTCATTTGAGGGGGGGGAGAACAGCAGACCATTGACATTCCTGCTTTTATCTGTTTGTCTCCAAATTGTCACTGAAATCTATTTGGAACGTACACTGTAGGATTTCTCTTGTAGTTTTTGAACAGTGTACTGGATTGCTTCTTAGGCTCCTTTCTGCCACGTCAATATAAAAGTGTATTGATAACAGGGAAAATAATTGATGACTTGTGTCTTTAGGTTGAACGGAAGACATTAGAGAAGGAGATGACTGATCTCGGGCTTGATATGACTGGTAAAAATGAGGTAAGACAGACTTTTTTCTGCATTGATTGCTGTAGGCATTACTTTCATTATTTCTAAATGTTCTTATACTTCATTTTTCTGCCACAGGAAATAAAGCTGTGGCTTTTTGTTTGTTTGTTTGTTTTAAAGCCAGGTGGCGCCTGCAGGTCTCACACCGCAGGAGGCGATTGTGGGACCCAAGCAGTGTGTTGGTTGATGGAACCGCTGGGCTAAGCTGGCTCCAGGAATAAAGCTGTGTTAAGGAAATCGATTAATATTGGATTAAGACTGGAATGCAGAGTCGAAAAATCCTATTATTTAATAAAGTTTGTACTCATAAGCTGTTAGCTGAATTAAGTGGTATCTATGCTGAGGAACAGTGTGCAGCACCTGATAACTAATTTAGAAGATGAGGGGTTCTGATTGGGCTTTTCTTGGTTTGTGAATTTTCAGGCACATTATGTAGCCCAGGCAAGAAGATCCCGGAGTGTTACCCGTAAACGTAAACGAGAAGAATCTGTAACACCTACATCTGTGGCAAGAAGTCGCAGTTCTTCCCGCACACCTCGCGATGTATCTGGCCTTCGAGACGTAAAGGTCTGTCTTAAGTTTATTAGAGTTCTGGACGGTTTTATAGGATGTAGTATTGCAAATAGGCATTTATAAATCTGCACGTTGAGCTACTGTAATTAAGCAGAGGTTTTTAACCATTTTAAATTGACTCGTAATACGTTTTGGTGTCATCAAGAGAAAATTACATTACTTTAAAAAAACCCTCTTCCTGTATATTTAGTATTGTTAGGATCAATTGGTTCCTTTTAGTTCAAGCCATTTGAAGCAGAATCAGCCCGTGTTCAGTTCATCATCTGTACCGTCATATACTAAGGGTGAATGGTTAACCTGTGGCCCTCCAGATGTTTGCTGGACTACAACTCTCACCATCCCTGTTTGGCCATATTGCCTGGGGCTGATGGGAGTTTGAGCCTAACAAAATCTAGAGGGACTACAGGTAAGCTACGCCTGCACTAAGGGGATGTGATGGCAATAAGCCAGCTTGTCACTTATTTGGCTGAGGTGTCCAAGACTCGCCATGCACAAACATTGTTGGGAGTAAGTTCCACTGAACTTACTTCTGTGTAGGATTGTGCTGTTAATACTGGACAGGTAGGGGAGGGAGAAAGACCTAGGTGGCCAGGCAAGATGGCTGAATTTACATACTGATGTGCAATAGCCAAATGAATTCAGGACTCATCTGGCTGTTTAGCTTTGCCTTTTTATGTAACATATGTAGCTTATGCAAAGACACTTCTAGTGTTTGAGAGACCAATTCCTTTGCATTTTTAAATTGCTTCTATAGAAGGCACATTTATGGCTGTCTCTCAGATCCTAGTCTTATACTCTTAACCACTACTTCCCAAAGGGACTATAAGGCAATATTTGGGTCATATTATTGGTGTGGAGGATGAACCTCAAGTGGAGAAAGAATGCTTCACTTATTATGATTTTTTTTTATTTGTATAGATGGTGAAGAAGACTAAAACTATGATGAAGAAAGCTCAAACGAAAATGAACCGGTTGGGCAGGAAAGGGGAAGCAGATAGGCACGTCTTTGACCTTAAGCCCAAACATCTGTTTTCTGGCAAGAGGAAATCTGGTACAAACCAACGAAGATAAATGGCTTTACAAGGACAATATGAAAATAACAATGCAAATTAAAGGCAACATATATATATAAGAAATGGTTTGTGGAGAATTTATTCCAGTAAAGTTGTGGTTTTATTGTTAGTTCTGTCGTAATGAAGTATAAAATAAATAACCCAAACATTCATTCAGTTACTTCAGCAGAAGTACATACCAAATGATGCATATCTCAATCTGCTGGGGTACTTTTTCTCTGTACTGAATACCTGGAGGTCTGGTAGTAAGTATCATTTCCCAAAGGTCTATTTTAACTACATCTCATTAGATATGGGAAGCAGCAGCTCTATCATAAAGCTATATTAACAAATTTAGTGGTAACAAAACGTTGCAATTTATAATAATATCAAGATACACGCAGAGCTGAGCACATAACTTTATAAGCAGGTTTGAAACATATAGAAGCCCCCTTAGGCAGTACTGAGCTAGATGGACCAATTCAGGATTCCTCCTGGATCAGTTTTTTAAAATTAATGTTATATTGGCTACTTTCCAGTTCCCAGAAATGGAGGCTGATCCGAGGCAAAAGTTACATATTTTTGTTAGAAAATCACATTTGATTTTTTTTAAAACCCTTAGGTGGATGCCATCTCAATCTGGCAATTGTTAGTTTTTATTTGGTCTATTAAGCCTAGAACTGTTTTTCATTTACCGCAGATAGCAGAAGTTAGTTCAGGTACAGGATCTGTCCTATATCCTCTGCTGTGAAAACAAAAGCAGAGAATTCATTCGGATTCTGAGCCACCTCTAGCACTCCTTTTGCTCCCTTTTCATCCAAGATACCAACTGTCTTCCTATTTAAAGGTATTTAAATGTTTTGTTGTTCATGTTTTTAGCAGTGTGCTGCTCCATTTTTTTAAGGAACCTTTATTGTCTCATTTGCCAAAGTTTGTGTTCCTTTTTGTTTTCCTTATTTGGGCAAGACCTCCATTTTTGGAAGGAATAGCAGCCTCTTTGACTCCGGTTGTTAGCAGTGCTGGTGTCCTCTTGGACACCGTCCTTGATCTGCATTTTACACTTCAGTTGAGCTTCTAAAAAACTTCCAAGATGGGGCACTGATCAAGAACAAGCATTTTTTAAGGTCAGAAATTTAGCTCAATGGGCCTGTCCAATAATTATTAACATTTGTCATATTGTATTCCTCAAAAATTGGTTTTCTATTAACTAGCCTAAATTCAACAGGTTATGGAAAATTTAAATGGAACACATTAATTTTTTTCATGAAGAAGTATTAAGTTCACTTGTTAGGATTCAGTCATTTTAATGATTAAAAATACACCAGCAGCTTTCTGGAACACAGCAGAATGTCTGAATATGCACAGTTTTTACTATCTAGTTATATCTGAAAATGGAACACCCTTAAGTCAAGGTAAAGTGAAGAGTTACTAGGCAGGCCCAAGAATTCCTTTCCTTTTTACAGCAAATAATTCAAAAAAGGAAGGCACATTTGGAGACGACTGAAGTACAAATTCTCACTTGACATTTTGAATACTACCTAGTTCTGCCCCGTAATGGTTTTCATCATGCACAGTTTACAAGTGAACAGGTACTATTAGAGCAGTTAACACCACACTTACTTATTACCCCACATACTCCATACTGCTAGCGCACCAGAAAACTGAAAATGAGTGGATGAAATAGGCCAACTCTTGAATGTAAGTACTGTTTCTTTTATCCCCTAACATGGACTTTAGTCTGACATTCAAGATGCAGCCTTTAGGACCAGAAATCTCAACAGCTATGCTAGTTAGGAGTGATGGAGAGTCACATGTTAGCGCCCCCCTCCCCTGCATTAAGCCAAGAACAAAACTAGTCTGGGAACTCCATTGGGTTTGTCTGTATCTAATGGGATTTCTGACTAAATAACTAACTCCTTCCCTATTGTACAGCAAACAGCCTACCCTGAAAAATAGAGAGGTATCCTGGCTAAGATTTAACTTTCAATCTTGACTGGTAGCCTAGTCAGTATTAAACCTCAGATTCTAGTGATTATATCAACAAATACATTCCCATTGAAAGCTTGTTAATAATCCAAATAATTACTCCAAGAAATGAAAGGCAGAAAAGACTCAAGCTTTAACAATCAGCCAGAGATAAAATCAATTTCCCTTCACAGGATATCTTCTTATTCCTAATTCATTCCCTGTGCTGCAGTCAACTTATAATTAGTGCTTCAGATATTGCCATTTATCAGTATTAAATGGTACTATATCGTTTTTAGAGCAGCATATTCTACAAGCTGTTACATTCTGTGAATCTTTTCATGATCCACAAACCTATTCAGATTATTCAAGTTATCCCACCATTTAAAGAGAAAAGTCTCTGCAATCAGTTTGAACCATGGAGTAATCTTAATTTCATTTCGGGATGCTTTTTCCAGGAGTTCTTTCAGTTCTTCCTGTGACACATAACAATAGCTTTTAATTTCATTGGGATCTGCATTCAGCGTCACATTCTTCTGCACAAACAAGATGTAATCGATTTCATGTTCTCCCCAGATCCCATTGGACTGAGCTTTGTAGTGAATTCGGGTTAAGTACAGGATTTCTTCTGGTGTTACCTACAACCAAAAACATGTAGTGACAGTACTTTATAACTTCCTTTCTGCATTTTTATGATAATTTTTTTTCAGAACACCTCAATACAAACCTAAAAGGGGTGGGTTGGAGAAAGAGCTGTGAGAGTTTGCTTTTGCTTTTAAATGGTTGATTTTTAATATAACATTTGTACAGTCAGTTGCTCAGATCAAAAGAATGACACTTGGACTTTCCTTCCCCATCTAATCTGCTCCTAAGGACTCTGTGGAATAGTGTATAATGGAGTGGATAGAGTGCATGTCCGCCTGGGATGGTGAGAGACTCAAGGCTCAAGTGAGCATTTAATTGAATAATGTACATTTGAGTGGATATATCAGATAAGAAAACATTCTTCCCAATATAAACTGCAGAGAGGAGTACCTCAGAGCTCTAGTCATATGGGTATAGCCAGAGCCCTTTGTTTTGCTTCAACAATTCTCAACACGGAAGAAAATGTTGCAATGTTGTGAAAAATCTAATGCTGGAAAAAGTCTTAGGTGTTTGTTTGCCCAGACATAGAAACATTTTATGCTGGAGCCAAGGCATCTGAAATCCCTTTCCAGCCCTGGGAAAAACTGTACTATTAAAATAGTTCCTTCTTGCTCCTTATATGTTTAGATTATACAAAAAGCCTTTCTGGTGTGCTTGCTGGACAGATTGTTACAATCAGTCTATCAACTAACATCTGTAAGCAAGCATGTCTTGATCAATTGTGATTATTCTGAAACTCAATCCAGGGCATGCACCAAACCTGGTCATTCTGACTAGTGAAAAAGCACAGACAAGCTGAAGTAGCAACAAACACACTGTGATAATTGCTCCCTTCTCTTAAGCTTCTGGGAATAGGGCCGACAGGTTCCAAATAAATACTGCAGCTCTGATTAGTATTTAGAACTGCAAGTATAACTAGATGCTGTTCAACTATTTTCCCCTAGGGAAGTCATTACTCTGAAATAAGAGCATTATTTACCTGTTCCATTGGAATTCCTAGCTCTTCTTTCAGGCGCCTCTGAGCTGCTCTTCGAACGCCAATTGCGTTCTTTTCTTCTACTTCAAGCACAGTGTTCAGGGGATGACTGCAACAAGTGTTGGTGAAGCAATCTACCAAAAAAGTTTTGTGGATTCAGTTTTAAGAATACTTTGCAGACTTTCAAATACTAGAATCCTTGGAAGTAGCCAATCTCATTTTGTTGACAGTACCAAGTATCCAGAGTTCAATGCTTAGCACCATAAAGAATACATTTCCAACATGTAAATGTAAAGTGAAATTGTGTTCCCAAGCCCATTCTGAGTTATATATGGTTGGAAAAAAAGGACAAAGCACTAGTCATTATTTAAATTGTGATTTCCACCCCCCTTCAATTTGCACTTATTCACTAAAAGTGTGCTAGTCTAGACCAAAGACAACATCACCACACCAAATAGTCTTTTGGGCATTTGACCTATCAGAAAATCTTTCTCACGCTTCTGCTGTTAACTGAACAAATACAGGTCATGAACACACCCACCCCACCATTCTTTCAAAGAGAGAAAACATTACTGCTACCCAAGTATCTGCTCACTTAAAAATGAAAGTAAATTTGTTTGAAATTTAACAGATAATTCTATTTTTCAAGCATTCCAGAAATATATGAGGACACAAAGTGGTATTTTATAGAAGCTACGCAATGAAAACAAGAATTTGTTGCTTAATAACAAACCTGGGAAAGTGATTTTGGCATCTGATCTTTGTTGCAATAGCAGTTTATTCTCCGTATTGAACAAGAAGACACTGAAAGCACGATGCAGCAGTCCTAGCACAAAAAGATAGGCAATATGCTTTTAAAAAGAATGTACTGCAAGGGGGTGGGGAGTAAACTTCACTCGTGTTCATCGTAATACTTGATCTTACAGTTTAAAAACCAAAGTTTAAACAAAGAAACAAGCATCCTATTTCTAAACAAAACTTTCTACTGTATGCATTATGGTTTCTCATTTAGGCTGGTAACTGCCTTGGAAAGGAGGGTTGGATATATATTTATTTGAATAAATTATTGCTTGGGTACCCTTTGGAGAACTTTGTAGGAGTAAACCTAAGATATTATTGTATGCCATATCTTACAATATACTACAATATATTACTTTTGCAAAAGTCAAGTGCTTAGGTGTTTTTGCACTGTCTGAGGAAGAGAGCTATTTATTTTGAGCAGTTCCTTACAGATCTGTAATCAAAGACATCACAGAAGACTAAAGTCTTTATTCTGTCAGATAACAGGTTAGTGTCAGATGTTCTCCTGGAGCAGCATAAGTCAGCACAAGAAAAGGGTTTTTAACTCATGCTGCTTCTGTTCTTGTGTGCAGTAGGGAAATTGCCTATATCCTTATGCACCAAAAGTGATGTTTCAACCACAGAAATAATTGTGTACCTTGGCTTATGGAATATGCCCATTACCTCTTTAACTGAAGCCTGAAAAGAACACTCATTCATCTTTTATTGCTCTTTGGCATAAACATTTGAAGGAGCCACCCGCAGTCTAAATTTGTGTGCGGGGCAGAACTATATAAGGTAAGGCTAAATGGTGGGGCAGGAAGTTGCTCTGTGGGCTGTGTGTCAAAGTAATCGGCGACTCAAAACATATTAACAAGCCTAAATTGCTATTCGACTTCACAGCATGAAAAGGATTTTCTTTACCACTTAAAGAACTCTTAATTCAAAGTTATCTTGTACATGGATGCACGAGACTAGTCTGCTGAACCACATTCCTCTATCTTCCTTGTTCCATTTCCTCCAGCTCCCTTTCTCGTTTTAACTGCTACATCTTGTTGTGCAAGTAGATTGCAAAAAACCCAGAGGCAAAAAATGGAGTTAGGTAGAAGTGCTCGATGCAGCTTGGTACCCAGGCAGGACCAGTTTACATACAATGGGATCTGAACAGTGATAGATACCTTTGTCAATGTTCTCATTCAGGTGGCAGTTTTTCTTGGTATCTGAACCAATTTTGTTGTCGTTTTCATCAATAAGGATGCACATCTCTGCCAGCAACTCTACCTGCTGCTCATCCAGTTCATTTGTATTTATTTCAGGCATGGTTGCAGTATTGATGCTCCTAATAAAAATACTGATGACAAAAAACCAACAACCCACAATTACACAAATATTTAATGAACAGTATTAGAACTTACAAGATTTCCTAATGTTTGCCTAGAGTCAGCAGAGCACAGGCATGCAGATGAGTGTCCATTATACTTGCCAAAGCTAGAAACTTGCCTAAACTTCACAACCAACGCAACCATCAAGTGTGCATATAATTTCTGATGGCTAGACAAAGTTAATTTTGATCCTCAGCCAATATTCTTAGTTCAGTAAGAATATGAGTCCACCATTTTTTACACAATACATAGCTATCACTACTTGTTTTATCTTGCACTAGCATGACTTTACAGGAAAACACACAAAGCCTTTAGTGTCTTTAGGCACCAACTATACTTAGCATTTGTTAAAGTAGACCACTTCCTCCTTTTTAACTAGCCCTGAGCCAATGCCTTTATTAGTATCTGTTTAATAGATGGAAGCTTTTTTGATTTGTCTACAGTGATAAGGCTTCACCTGCTATACTTCTATGTATAAAGGTAAAAAGGTAAAGGACCCCTGGACAGTTAAGTTCAGTCAAAGGAGACCTATGGGGTTGCGGCGCTCATCTCGCTTTCAGGCCAAGGGAGCCAGTTTGTCCACAGACAGCTTTCCGAGTCATGTGGCCAGCATGACTAAACCGCTTCTGGCTCAACGGAACACCGTGACGGAAACCAGTACACATGGAAATGCCGTTTAGCTTCCCGCCACAGTAGTACCTATTTATCTACTTGCACTGCCGTGCTTTTAAACTGTGTATTGCACTGCTGACAAAAGTAAAGGGCTAGTAAAAGATGTAGCAAATGCTTTGTTAAAAATATGAGAGTCCTGCCAGGAAAAGATGTGGCAGACTTACCCAACTGCTTAAACAAAGAGAGGAAAAGTACAACTATGAGCATACCTTGAAACACCTTTGTATATTGGGAATGCTATAGAATTTTTTTAAATGCCCCAGCCTACTTCAGGTCCATGTCACTTGTCAGCCCCAGTAGCAAAAGTTCTGAGCGCTTATAAAGCTGTGGACTCCAGCAGCAGAGCTTTGCTGCTGAAAGTTTAATTTGGAAGCAAAGAACTGTTGCTATAGTGGGAAGTATGCTACTTTTGCTGTTTAACAAAAATGTTTTAGAAATCTACACTAGGAAAAGAGAGGGAGCTACATGCTCCGTCTCCAAAAGCTCCATCTCTTTCAAAATCCCAAGGGAAACTACAAAGGATAAATACAGGAAATTACTGAGCTTAGTACAGTGGTACCTCAGGTTACATACGCTTCAGGTTGTATACGCTTCAGGTTATAGACTCCGTTAACCCAGAAATAGTGCTACAGGTTAAGAACTTTGCTTCAGGATGAGAACAGAAATCATGCTCCGGCGGCGCTGCGGCAGCAGGAGGCCCCATTAGCTAAAGTGGTGCTTCAGGTTAAGAACAGTTTCAGGTTAAGAACGGACCTCCGTAAGTACTTAACCCGAGGTACCACTGTATCCATAAAAACCAGCAGTGGCTCTTCAGAGTTTCAGGTTGGTATCCATCCCATCTCTACCAGAAGCTTACACAATCTTTATCTTGGTCACCTAACCGCCCTCAGGGGCATGTTGTGGGGAAAAAGGTGGGGGAAGGAGGAAGAGAACAACAGGTGCCATCTGTAGCTCTTTAAAGGACAGTGCAGTAAGAACAAGAGGACATTAATAAAACTTGAGTAATATTTCTCAGGGCTGTGGATGGAGGAAGGGAACTTACTGCCACAAGATGCAGAGAAAAAACCTGAACTCGGATTCCCTACCCAAGCCTTTTCAATAGGGAAGTGGATACTGTATGCAGATCAGTGTTTCCCAGCCTAGGGTCTCCTGCTGTTTTTTTGGATTACAACTCCCACCATCCCTAGCTAGCAAGACCAGTGGTCAGGAATGATGGGAATTGTAGTCCAAAAAGAGCTGGAGACCCAAGCTTGGGAAACACTGATGTAGATCAGGCATCCCCAAACTCGGCCCTCCAGCTGTTTTGGGACTACAACTCCGAACATCCCTAGCTAACAGGGATGACGGGAACTGTAGTCTCAAAACAGCTGGCGGGCCGAGCTTGGCCACGCCTGATGTAGATAATACAGTGGTACCTCAGGTTAAGTACTTAATTCATTCCGGAGGTCCGTTCTTAACCGGAAACTGTTCTTAACCTGAATAAATAGTGCTTCAGGTTAAGAACTTTGCTTCAGGATGAGAACAGAAATCCAATGCTCCGGTGGTGCAGCGGCAGCAGGAGGCCCCATTAGCTAAAGTGGTGCTTCAGGTTAAGAACAGTTTCAGGTTAAGAACGGACCTCCGGAACGAATTAAATACTTAACCCGAGGTACCACTGTATTATTATTATTATTGGACGCTGCACCGCCACCTCCCTTCGCTTCCCCACGGGTGACTCAGCGGCATCGCTTCGAACTCCCTTCCGCCCCCGGGCCTTTTTTGGTCCTTACCGCGTTCCGTCCCCGGGCCGGCACGCGGCCTCTGCACTCACGCAAAGCGAAGGAAGCGGCCGCCGAGACTGAGGAGGCGGCAGTGGCTGCAGCACCTGTCCGAGGCTGCGACGATACAAGCTTCCCCACGAAGACGAGGAGGCGGAGGAAGCAGAAGCGGAGAGCGCGCGGGCTGCAGAGCCTTCTCCTCCGGCTGCCCCGGCAGCAACAGCTGCTGCCGACGCCGCCAACCGCTGCGCCGCGCGCCACATCGCCTGGCAACCCTCCCCGCTCGGCGCCTGACCAATGGCGGCGGCCCCGGGCGGCGTCGTCATCAGGTGGGCCGATCGCGCCACCGCCCGCGAACAGAGAACGCAAAGCGCCAGCCAATCGCCCGCGGGAGAGCGGTCGCGTGCGGCTCTCGGGTTCAGCGGGCAGGGGGAGGGGGCGTGGCTAAAGGCGTGAGGGGGTGTGGCTAAAGGGCGAAAGGCGGGAGGGGAAGGGTGAGTGGATGTAATTTCACAGAAGCGTGACATTCTTAAGAGTTGGAAGGGACACGGGAGGGCCATCTAGTCCAACCCTCTGCAATGCAGGGATCTTTTTCCCAGCGTAGCGCTCGAACCCACGGCCCTGACGTTAAGAGGCTCATGCTCTACGAACGAAGGAAAGGATAACAGCAAAAGCAAAAAATAAAAAAAACCAATTGTGGAAGAAGCTGATTGCAGTTTTTGTAGGAGATGCCTGTATTATATGCTCAGTTAGCACCTGATCTTTGGAACTCCCTACCGTTGTATATCAGGCGTGCACCTTCTCTATTGAAGTCTTTTCAGCACCTGCTAAAAGATGCCCATCTGTCACCAAACCTTCTGGAGGAGATCTTCATCGTAGCTGAAATCAATGTTGCATCTCAATTGAACATATGTGTGTGTGTGTGTTCCTGGTCCTCTTTTAAACCATGTAAGTGTGTGTGTGTTTATAGTGTTGAGTGCCACCCCAATCTTCTAGTGGTGTGAGTTTCCAGGGGTTCCAGTGTTTGTGTTTTCTTTTGGGAATGAAGCACAGAGGACACTATGGTGCCTATAGGATATATGGTTTACTTACACACGCACACACACATATGCAACCTGAGCTGAGTATAATGGAGGGGTTCACAGCATTAACAGCCCAAGAGGGGCTTGTTTCTCTCATGGCTGCAGTCTATGATTCAAATAGACACCAGCCATTTTGCTCTGATGCTCTTTCCAGCTGCCGCCTTTACCAAACTGCAACCTTCCCCCCTCCCCCCAGGTCACATCACACTCAACCTAAAACTATTTCAAACACTGGCTTTGCCTTCTGACTCTGAGTTGAGGGAGGGGCTCCACCCATTTGCCTTCTGGTCCAGAGTCTTTGCCTTAATGGCTTATTACCTTTCCTTTGTTCTATAAATGGCTCCTCTCCCAGGCAATTACCTCATGAGGTTCACTTATTTAGTTTATCTAGCTCTTAACATTTGCTGGGTCCAGATATTAAACGTCTGGCACCCACAAACCCATAACACAGGGGAATCTGGCATCAAACTCATTACAATATATTTAACTTTTATTGTGTTGTAAATAGCCTCTGGATGCCTGTGGGGGAAATGATTCATAAGGGAAATAAATAATAAAATGAGATACCAAGCATCTTGATAAAGAAAGTAAGTGTAAGCAGCTTCATAAGCGTAATGATTCCTAAGACGGCTCTTGAATTCCCCGGCTGATTTGCCTGGCGCTCCTGTCAAAGCCGTGGGTGACCTCTGGAGCACCCAAATGGCTCGCATCATTGACACGATTACGCCTGAGCACCCTCTCCCACTTCATGGAGCCCATTTGGCTCCCTGGTATACTCCAGAGTTAGGGTGAAGAAACAGGCTGGGAGACTGCTTGAATGTAAGTGGAAGAAAACTCCAGTTGAATGCAATCCAACACTGGTGAGGGCTCATCATCAACCCTACCTAGTAGCAGTGAAGGTAGCAAAGAAAGTACACATTGCTGCCTCCATAGCATCCTCACTATGCTGCCCCAGCAGAGCTTTTCCAAGTAGGGCGGGGCCATTTATGCCCGAAGGAGGTGGTAGAACCAACAGCAGCTCCCTCTGACTTGTTTGCAAACCATTTTGAGGAGAAAATCACTTGCATCCATCGGAAGTCAGATTCCATTGTTACAGCAGAAGAATCTCAACATCTTGATAAAGAAAGTAAGTGTAAGCTGAGGGTGCAAAAAGGCCTTGAAATGTGAGAGGTATGTTTTGAGACATTTTTGTACAAAGCTCAAATGTATACGAGATTTGACTGTGTTGTGCCATCCACACACAAAAAGCGATAATTGGTGGTAGCTCAGTACTCATTTGCTAAAGATACTCATCTATTCATAGATATTCATCTGTATAAATACCAGACTGGTAATTTGTGGTAGCATAATCCTTATTTATTAAAAATATTTATTATAATTGACTCACCAGGGTGGTAACACAGCTTTTATTAGAAAAACCTATTTGTAGATAATTATCTATATAGATGGGGTTGATCAAACTAGTAGCCTCCAGATGTTGTTGAACTTTCAGCATCCATAAGCTCCAGCTGGCATGACGAATGGTCAGGGATGAAAAGGGAGTTATAGCCCAACAGCATATGGAGGGCATTGTGTTGTCTATCCCGAATAACATAAAATAAAACAAACTGCTACCAGATCATGAAAAAACGATACATGCTAAAATACTGCATGAAACAAATAGGACAGCAAAACGTAACAGTTAACAATCTTCCTGTATTTGCTGTGGCAGTTTAAAATTAATTCAAACCTTTGTTCCAATTGCTGTTCTTATAAATACGACATCCTCCCATCATATGTCAAGGAAATAAACAACCACCTGACTTTTAGAAGACACCTGAAGACAACCCAGTATTGGGAAATTTTTAAATGTTGTAATTTTTTATATGTTGTAATAGTAATAGACACATCTCTGCAAGAGGGGTTGCTTTAGAGCCGGAGGCCGGGTTGCTACACCTGAAAGAGCCGCTCTCTAAGCCAGGAGGATTGCAACAATTTACCTCGCATTTTCCCTTCGTGGGCAATGCTGGAGCAGGTTGTTTGTTATACAACTCCATGATCTCTTGGATGGGACTGACTACGTCCATTTCCATTCAGTTTCAGGTCTGGACTTGGCGGCACAGAAACTGAAATCCAAACAAGCTATGCACCCTAAATGCTCACTACTCCAGTGATGACTAGTCCATTTGGGCAAATGGAACACTTTCCCACCAATATCGGCCAGCGCCAGCCAGCCGCCACCTGCCTGCCTTCTCACATATGTCAAGAGGGTATCTCTCTACCTTTCATCTTAATCCTCTTCAGTATCTGTTGCCATTGTAGAACTCAGCAGGGAAATGGATGAGGGAAAACTAACATTAGCGGACTCTCCTGCTGGGATCTCTTCTTCCTGCCTCACTGGTCCAATGGGCACCATAGCTGTCAACGTTTCTCTTTTTCCCCTTATTCCAAATAGGATTCCTCGCAAGAAAAGGGAAAAGCTGACAGCTATGATGGGCACCAGTCACCCCTGGCTGCCCCTCTTCTGTTCAGTGAATTATGTCTCATTTCCTCCATTTTCTGGTTTGCTGGTAGCAATGCATAGTCACCACTAGGAGGCAGAATTGGTAGTATAGATAGATCACTCATCTCAAACTCCTGTGCTTTTTATGCTTTTTTAAAAAAAGAAAAGAAATATTTTTACATCGTACTCCTCTTTATCTTGTGCTTGCATAGGGCCTTCCATGGTTTCCCACCCAAGGGACTGACCAGCGTTTCATTTCATTAAAGCTGCAGTACCATGAACCCCTGGGACAGCAGTTCCCAAACTTTTTGGACGCAGAGCCACATTTGAAAATCTTTAGAAACTTTCCTGGGCACTTGTACAAAATGGCCGACCGGTCACAAAATGTCCTGTGAAATCAAAAACAACAAAGAACTCTCATAGGAAACTGAAAGCAAAACACCTACCCAAAAAAAGGCAATTCCCTCCCCCCCCCATAAAATAGGCACACAACAAAACGAGGAAAAACACATAGCAAACCAAAAAAGAGGTACCCCCCTGCAACAGCAAGGAGAACAAACACGCGCACCCCAAAACAAAAAACCAGCAAACACAGTCAAAATGCATACACTACCCAAACAAAAGTGGAACACCTACAAACAGCCCAAACCACACACTAAACCAAATAAATGACATCTAGCCAGCCGAGCTGCAAAAGCTGTGAATTCCAATTCCTATCAGCCTCTGCCAGTTTGGTCAAGGATGATGTGAGCTGGAGTCCAACAAAATCGTGGGGGCAACATCCTGGATTTAGTAAGGTTGTCTAGAATTGGATTGATTTCCATCCTTTCTCCCTGCATGCTCTGCGCCTGGAAAAAACTTTTACATTTTGGTTCAAATCTTAGTGAAACTGAAACAGACTCTGGGTTTCAGACCAACACTTTTAACGATACTGATTTCATTTAACATTTCCATTTCATTTAAAAGTTAACTTTCCAGGATTGCAGGGCTTACCCCAAGGGTTCCATTAGAATGTGGTCAGTGGAGGGTTACTGGTATTTTGTCATTACAAATACAGTGGTGCCTCGTAAGACGAAAAGAATCCATTCCGCGATTCTCTTCGTCTAGCGGTTTTTCCGTCTTGCGAAGCAACCCTATTAGCGGCTAAGCGGATTAGCGCTATTAGCGGTTTAGCGGCTATTAAAGGCTTAGCGGCTTAGCTGCTAAAAGGCTATTAGCGGCTTAGCGGCTTAGAAAAAGGGGGGGGAGCGAAAAAAACACGCAAGACTTGCAAGACGTTTTCGTCTTGCGGAGCAAGCCCATAGGGAAAATCGTCTTGCGAAGCAACTCAAAAACGGAAAACCCTTTCGTCTAGTGGGTTTTCCGTCTTGCGAGGCATTCGTCTTGCGGGGCACCACTGTATATAGTTTGAGCATAGGAGGTACAGTGGTGCCCCGCAAGACGAATGCCTCGCAAGACGGAAAACCCGCTAGAAGAAAGGGTTTTCCGTTTTTGAGTTGCTTCGCAAGACGATTTTCCCTATGGGCTTGCTTCGCAAGACGAAAACATCTTGCAAGTCTTGCGTTTTTCCCCCGCTCCCCCCCCTTTTTCTAAGCCGCTAAGCCGATAATAGCCTTTTAGCAGCTAAGCCTTTAATAGCCGCTAAACCGCTAATAGCGCTAATCCGCTTAGCCGCTAATAGGGTTGCTTCACAAGACGAAAAAACCGCTAGACAAAGAGAATTGCGGAATGGATTATTTTCGTCTTGCGAGGCACCACTGTATAGCTATGCTGGGGA